GAGGTCGTAGGTTCGATCCCCGGCTGTGCACCAATGGACTTTCTTTCTATCTGCACATTTAACATTTGCTCGAACGGTGAAGGAAAACATCGGAAACCGACATGTCTTAGACCCAAAAAGTCAACGGCGTGTGTCAGGTACTGGAGGCTGATCACCTACTTGCCTATTAGATTAAAAAATGATCATGAAACATATTCAGAAATCTGAGGCCATGACCTAAAGAGGTTGTAGCGCCACTGATTTAATTTTATTTTACACCACACATTTGCAACACTAATAAAATATTATTGTATTTTTAGTTTGTTTGCACTGTTTTCTTTTTTAAGCGGTTGGGAACTGCGTTCCCACTTGCAAATTATTTCTATAAATTCGTTGGAAAAGTGCTATAAAGTCGATTAATATATTATAAAATAAAGTTTAAACGGTTTTCGCGAAGAATATAAGAATAAAGCACAATTATTTTAGTGGTAAAGCATCTTTACACCATCAGACTTTACTTTTATTCCCGAAATTAGCACTTGTTCGTGAAGGCAAAATGTCGCAAAGAAACAGGCATCGACGATGTGTGGTTTGAATAGGATACTGATAATCTAAGTAAGGGCAAGACTCATAATAAGTTGTAGTACTAACAATTGATGTACTCTATATTTTAATTCACATAAAAAATATTCTAAATTTAGCCCTACGCCTTTTTTCCTCATCAAATACGACTAAACGTTCAAGTGTGTGATCTTACCTTTACTACACGCTACTTGCTTGAAGCATCTTGTTTTATCTCAAAGGGACGCATTGTAAGCTCTTACTTAGCAGACTGGCTATCATAGATCTCAATCTACGATATCGCCACAGACTATGACAGTTCTTATATTAGGAATGTAACAATGTTCTATGTATGATGGATTTGGTGTTATCATATGATGTTTGGAATACATATGTTTTGCTACAGGATTATCGAATTAGCTATCAGATTATCCCTGATAGTACTTTCCAATTTGAATCAACAATGTTTATTTTAGTTATATCATATCAAATAAACACCTTTTGTGTATCAAACCTGTTCCTTGGTAAATTTTACAAACGAAATAATATTGTTAAACGAAAAAGTGTTTTTCGAAACATAGCCGAATTAAACACACACAATGTTGAAATGAAAAGGATTATGAAGCCGGTAATGTTCCCTTTTAATTAAAAAGAGAAGACCGGAAGAAAAAACAACATTATTTTTAATAAACTTTATTATTCACATTTAGATAATTTTCTGTACAACTTTACATACACAGTTTAAACAATAAAACAAAATGTGTCACGTGTTGTTGTTTTACAAAAAAAATATAAGATATACCAGTACAGATCTACATTCTTATTATTAAGATTATCGTTTAATTCTTTGTTTTTTGTATTAAAATCTGCGTTACCAGTAATCAAATGTGCGCACGCCTTTGTAAGTGTATATCGCGTTTGTCACGCGACGTTATTCCCGATTTTGGGATGTTTATTTATTGCGGAAATATTATATGTATGTCGGAGATAAGTGTTATAACTAATAAGGAAACACGATGTTATTTATTTTATTAGAATTGTGAATGTCAAAGTGCCAATCTGTAACGGATCCGGATGATCCCGATGATGAAAAGCCGCCACGCGGCAAAGCAAACTTAGATTAGGGTAAAAAACCGCCTTCGCCGGGGAAAGCGAGGTCCCTTACGTGCTTTTCTCACTTCAGTGAGATTCCATCCTGTCCGTCAGGCGATTGACCACCCTGTGACGGACGAGTCTCACTAGAGACGCTCTTGCGCTAGTCGTGGGATAAAGCCCATTTTCAGCCGAGATTCGCTCAGAGAGATTCCATTCGAAACAAAAAAAAATAGTCAGCACTACTACTAGTAGTGCGTAAATATCAATTGATTTTCTCTGATGGGCGCCTGGGCTTCACCTGCATCAGATTTAGTTTGTAGTGCTTGTCAATATTATTAGAGTAGTAATTTATATATGCAAATTATTCCCTAAAGACTTATTTTACTCAAAGAATACTAGCATTCATTAAAATTTCGCTTTAAAAAAATATGTTACATTCTTCTTTAGAAAACAAGAACTATCAACAAAGGTTTCATATACGACTCGTAGCAACATAAATTGGCATCTTATACAGAAACATAAAATGATATAGGTCTAATTGTTTTATTTAGGTTTTTTATTAAATATTTACGATTACTTTATTAGAATGCCATAATGAATTCATTCACGTAGCCGTTCGAACTAAGCCACTGTCTAAATAGAAGATAGTTCTGTTTGGTTTTGCAATCGCTTGTCAAAACTTTCTCAACAGAGGGTTATATTTACCTTTACTACCTTATATTAATTAACTAATTTTATACTTTTGACAGCATTAAAATACACAATACCCGTAACTGTGATAACGAAATTAAATTCTTTCAAAAAGATGTCATAATTTGTTTTAACAATAAGATTCTAATACATCGGGTAGTATGGTTATTGCTGTTAACATAATTCAAAAACAATTGATAAATTTTATTGAATTATTTAAAAAAATTAACCTAGTCTTGGCTATACATAATGTTGGCTATAAACAATTCAAGTACTAAAAGCATTGCTCGTTAATTATAAGCATATCAAAATCAACATTTCCAATAAAAGCATCACGCATAACAAGGCTTTATGTTAACAATGAATGAAATATGAATGATAATTCCTTAATCCCCGGGGATCACTGCCTTTCATTTGTATAAACCAATTTTATCTTTAATTCTCAGAATATAATGACGTGTTATTTGATTAATATTTACCTAATTTTCATTGTTAATTACAAAACTTGTTTCCAAACATGTGCCAGTTGTGTAAAGCAATTTCGTGTGTTTAAATTACACAGTTATTATCGTTACCTAATTTAAATTATATTGAACTCAATGGTGGTGGGAAGACTTATTAGTAATGCACTAACGGAATATTCAAAATGAAAGACTAAGGCTAATGTTGAAATCGATTGGCTCAACTCTAGCAGTTTTTAATCTAAGATAACTGTTAGAAACTACAGAAATGTGGTAAAGCAAGAGCCGCTTCGTCTCTATCCTGTTAAAATTATAGACAATAGTGGCCGATAAGTTGCACAGCCAGCTTTTCGAATTGCCACCATGACCAAAATTGACATATTTTTATAATCACTGTATAAATTTTTTTTTAATACGAGAAGGTGAATTGTAAAACGCTCGCATTATTTCTCATACGTCTGTTTTTGACTTTTATAATCATATTATAAATATTATATTAATTCCAGTTGAATATAAATAATGTCTCGCATTCACAACACATTTGAAAAGGACAGTAGCTATATATAGCTAGCTATAGTCATTATAAGACTATAAATGCTAATGTCAAGTTAAAAATTTAAAATTAGAAAAGTTTCGAGCTTAGAAACAAAACAGGAATTTTAAAAGATTATCAAACTTGTGAATATAAATCTTATACATGGCAAGTATTCTTCGAGTAAAATTAAGTTGGATTATAGCCAGCCCTGGGTTAACTTGAAGGAAAATGAGTGTAAAAAGGGAATTTTTAATGGAATTTTGGCTAGCGTGAACGGGTAAAATTATATTTTAATGTTGGCTAACGTCCTTTATTTGAAAATTATGTTGAGGTGTGTTCTACTTTCTTATTAATTTTCTTATATAATGTTTCCCTTAAATATAAACATTTGAATATATAGTTTATTAAATTATTACTTAGGTAGGTAGAAGTTTCCAGTTTTTTAAATGGATTTAAATGATAGGAAAGTTTTATCAATTATCATAAAATAATGTGAGAATGTATCAAGGAAAAATAAATACGTTTATTAATAACAATATTATAATCCAATAAACCGTAGTAATTGGGACGTAAAAAAATTATATAAGTGTGATTTTAATTTTAGTAAAATGTTTCAACAATTATAAATTTAGATCTGCACTGATACCATATACGTAATGTTTCATATTGTAAATAATAAGTAATAATTTGATCGTAAACAAAACAAGATTATAGTGAGCACAATTCTTTTCTCAGTGGCTCTAACACAATTTGCATTTAGTCTAGTGTTCTTTTGCTGGATCCCTCAATTTTTACGGATAATCAGTTGATGAACGAAGCTACTGATCGCTGAGGCGCTTGATGTGAATGGTCTGAAGAGACTGTTGCCTAACGATATAGACATTTTTCTATTTCTTTCTATTTGAGTTTCTCCTCCTCCAAGCTCGTCAAACATTGCTGAATAGTATTCTCTGGCGTGATTAATTACAAAAAAATGCAAATGTACTTTTAATACCCACGACATAAGCGGGCAAAAAAGCGATAATTTGTTTATGGATGGACAACTGCTAATACCAACCATCAGTTATATATCCTATTGTTTTCGCTTAGTCTTATTATTTGGAGAATTAACATTTGGCACATTTATTTACAATAGATTTTATATTTCATCTTAACTATTTTATCAAATATTCGCCAAACAAATCTTTAAAAATTATTACATTACACATGAAGAAATAAGCCAAAAGAAATAATGACTGTACAAAATACATTTAACACACAAATTGTTTATTAAATTGCCTATTCGACGTTAACCCGAATTTCAATAACATTTAATTTTACTAAACAATAATTAGTCGTTGTTATACAACCAATATACTAATTTATGTACAATAGTGCGCGATCAAAGTAGAAAAATGTGCATTTATAATGCATAGAAAAGGCCTAGAAAGACTTATATTATACTTAAAATAATGACGTAATACAAAATTTTATAGACCGGATTATTTTATTCTCATTCCTTACTATAATTGTATGTAATTGTGAAATACGGCACGAAATTTCACCAAATAAACATTAAACAAATGAGTAAAAAAAATTATTATAATATCGTATAGTAAGTGGCTTAGCAACAAAAGTAATTGACGATAGCAACAAAAAACTACGCCACAAGAGTTGATATTAATTCGTTTGAGTCACAGTCATTTTACTAGCAAAGGCACTTCTCTTGTCACCAATAATAATATCGTCCATATACTTAAATAACAGTGAAGTTGATGCACGGTACTTCTTGATACAGCACCTGTAAATATTCATAATATAAATAAACATAATATTTTTTTAGAACGGCAAACGGACAGGAGACTCACCTGATGTTAAGTGATACCGTCATTCATAGACGATCAATGTCTGAGGGGTCGCGAGTGCGTTGCCGGCCTTTTAATAATTGGTTCGCTCTTTTCATGAAGGACCCTAAGTCGAATTGGTTGACATAGTGGTGATACGGATGAAATTTCGTATAGTGCCTCGACGTCCAATGATGAATTATTAAAGAAAACTAATTATCATTTTCTATAGTTTTTTGTAATGCAAATGGAATATTATTTTAGATCTCTACGAGTATTAGCATTATGCCTTATTAACTCACTATAATTTAGTGATAAATAACCTAATGTAGAAAAAAGGCGTGAAAGTAATATTGGATATCTAAAAATAGCTTAATAATTTTCTTTTATTTCCGTTACGAAAATCGTGCGAGGTCGTATACTAACGAAAATATATCATAAACATTCCCATTGCCCTATAATAATATTATGTCAGCCAAGTTTGCTTTACCTTTACTTTCGAAAACATGTCTCTTAAATATATGTATGTAGTCAAAGATATAAAATAAACATAAAAATATAAAAGAAACATATTTTAAAAACAAAAACGAACGTAGCTAATCTGCTATTACTGTGTGTATAGGTTTGGTAGTTTGTTTTAATTAGCTAACTTTGACCTGCATATTACCATCTGATACCTATCTAGGTAAAATAATAGGCCCTTACATGCTTATTTACCTGTATTTTATATAGAACATGCAAAGATGCAGTAGGCTGATTAAGTAACATCATCGCCGTATAGTGCATTACTGGAATCAATACACTCTAAGGACTCTAAGTTGTAATTGAATTTCTTTTTGTACAATCTAAAGAAATAATATAACAATCTGAAACTGATCAGATAAACAAAATTATATCCCTAATGTGACATATGAATAAAGAAAGAGACAGAAAGTACTAACTTATCCTCTAGCTATTCTAATTAATTTGCGATATTTGTTTTAAAATAAGTGTTGTTTGATGATTTGCTATTTTAAAAGAGTACCTAGATTTTTTTACGCCGGCTTTTTCTCTCGGTCTTTGCCGATGAGTAGGGATGCCTACAAATTCAAATTTAATGACGTGGAATTATTGATACCTGTATCTTATGTTCCATAATAAACATATTTTATTTTTATTTTTTATTCTAGCGAACTTATGACATTGTCGCAAAATCAATATTTCTTGAAATAGATACTTACTATTTTTACTTAACATATAAGAGGATATGTGAGGTCGACTGGCCACAAATAGCCGTACGGCCATGCTGCGTATGTGTGGGGGTCGGGTCGGCAACGTCGCACGACACTCAAGTGACAGAAAGCCACGATGTGTGGAGTAGTCATCTGGATACACATGAAGTGTGCGCCACGAGGCCTGCAATCCATCCCCATCAGCTCCCGAAACGTGTGTATTTCCAGTTATTATGGGATCCTGTAAGAGCGATATTGGGTTATAATATACATTATTTAATGGAATTTCTACTCATACCATGTGTCTTCCACATAAAAACTTAATTTATAAACAATATTACGTCGCCTATCGACTATATCCAAAATACCAGAAATTGCTACGCTTAGTATTTTTTATTTAGTAGAAAGCACTGTAAAACGATATTTTAAAATATATTTTGTACCAGAACTGCAGTTACATTTCTATACTCTGTGGACCCTTTCTGGAACTTGCACTGCAATTTCCGGATAGAGTCTGCGGAAAGAGATTTGGTGTGGCGGTTATGCGAACTAGCGTCTGGGCAGTATAATTCTTATTTGCATTCCATTAATTCACATTATTATACACAATTAAAAATGTTATATTTTAATTTTCTTCACATCAAGATGATTGCGGTCTAACTATAATAACGTAAAAGTGTGGACAATATTACAAAAATGTAGTTCTGCTACAACCTGAAATCCCACGACGATTCTATTTCCGCACAGACTCTGAGGAAATGCCTGTATAAAATCTGGTAGCAATTAAAAAAACTTACACATTAAGAATGGAAATACGTTATGTAGGCCAAGAATTTCTTAGATATTTAGATAACATATAGAGGTACCTAGCGTGTGAGTATTTTGCAACACAAAGCATACCATCACGCACTTTACAAGTTACAACCTGCGTTAGCATAGTAACATAAATTTAAATTTATCGCCCCATACATCTTGCCGTGTATCATATTTTCTTGTGCACAATCATATCATGCTAAAAGTATTTCTAAACTCGTTATTCAAATGTGAAACACTTCTGATACGACTTCTCTTCAAGAAAAAGCCGTAGCAATTATTAAAAGGCCGGCAACATACTCGCGAGCCCTCTGGCATTGAGAGTGTCCATGGGCGGAGATATTACTAAACATCAGATGAGCCTATTTTATAAAAAAATGCCAGTCAAACCAATTTTCTAATAGTTAATGCCTGTTAAAATTTATTTAATATAACCTTTTCATATTCAACATAGTCTAGGACTAAAATAAAGATATAGGTCAAATACATTTATTACATTGGCAGTGATCGTCGGATTTCAAAGAGGAGGTACCTCTTTGAAATCCGACGATCACTGCAAGAAACGAGAGAATTTAAACAAACTTGTATTGTATCAAACGGTATAAAATAAAATTTATCTGAGTCTGTGATTAAAACTAATTATTATAAATAAACAATTTCTACGTAGGTTTAACGATATTGAAAGTTAATCTGATTGAACAATATTGTCTCGATATTGTTTACTTTTATCTTTATCGTTGTTGCAATACCATTAACGTTATATGAACACATTCACGAATGTTACGACGCTCGAAATGACACTAATAACGAAATGGCAGTTCTATAGTATACATGTGTAAATCATAGTTACATGTTGTCATATTATATGTATTTTTGTTTCTTGCTCACAACTTTATTTCTATAGAAATATAACTCATATTGGGTTAGAAATAAAACGTATATATCACGCGAGACTCTTTTTTATATCACAGGTAGAAATGCATTTGCGCATCCCCTGCCCTCGAAAGTAGAGGATGTGCTGATAATACCAGAATCTCTGCGTTTGGTGGGTAATATACACTAAGACCACCTCGGGTAGTTCCTACAAGGCCGCGTAGCTCCAGGGTCGGTATCAGATTCGGGGCTCAGCGGCATTAATACTCAGGCGAGACCTATTTCGTATTTTAATAAGTGTTTTCGCGTTAATTGTATCAAAATCGGTTCTTCATGCGATAGACATAGAAGTTACGTGTCGATTTGTAAACCTTAACGTTCAGGTTGAAGTTAGAAATATTATTCTCTTATAACATTGTCATATATCATATAGTCATCATATCATTAAGTTTCGGAGTCGAATAGAATATTTTATTTACTTTGATCTTTATTTGTTATTTCATAAATATACAAAGAGGTTATGAAGACTTCAGACTTACATTTATTTAGCCGCATATTGGACAAGAACAAACGCAATCATACAGATAAGAAAATATTACTCTTTATAATTGCCCACAAATCACTCAGTGTTTGAGTGATTACTCTCAATCGAAGCATATCCGGTCCATTAGACCCGGAAGTCCGGTTCATTGGAACTATTGTCCGTGTATGCGCTTAATGGAATACCGTACTTTGGTGAGAAGCTATAAGAATTCCTACAAGCCGTAGGAGGCGTAATTTAAGCTGGTGACAAATGGGAAATCTTGAATGTTAACATAGATTGCTTTGTGTTTTTGTTTGTTGCGTTTTCTGTTCATTCCAGTGCACCGATCGTAAGCAATATATTAAGAGATCTTTATTGAGACTGATTATTTACACAGGAGATATAACAGTTCACTTTTTATTCCTTATCACTTACTCGGGGACCCACTGAAGCGGCTGTAGTATTACGTACTCATCCGCGGCAAACACCGTAAATTTCCTAAGGACTAAAATGATTTCTTTCACAATTTCCGCCCGGGGATTTACAACTCAAAATCGAACTCGGGTTAAATTTCTAGACCAAATCGGAAAGTTATAGAACTACATAGAGTCTTAACAAAGAATATAGGCTTTATTTCCGTGTTCTACCCACACAAATTAAAAAACCTTAAATTACTAAGTTTTCATTTGGCAATGTTTAGTTTTGTGTAGCGTAAAACTGAACTGAACATTGACTTCAATTTTAATTACTTCAAAATATGAAATTATTTATCACCCAAGTGACATTGACAGTGATGAATATCAGTGGTATATAAATTTGTAAAATCTCGTACAAAATAACAATGCATTTTAATAATTCTAGAATTATATTGCTTCAGTTATATTAATTTAATTATTATAATTGTTGAATTCACAAGTGCTCTAATAATCAATTACCTAATTCGCAGGTTAAGCGAGCTAACGGATGCCAATTAATTAAATTATTCGGAATTTCTGTTTGCTAATATCGATTTCTACAATACATATTATATCGAAATGGTTATACTTCGACACGATTAGCTGCAAACGCTTAACCAATTTTAATTACTATTACTAGAGTTGTTATAATCAGTCTGAGTCTTTCTTACAATACTTTAGAATACAGATGCGTAGCGAATCCATCAAAATCGTGTTCATTGTTTAAACTATGACCCAAAGCATTTAACTTTCTAAAAAATAGCTTAGCTTATGTATAATAGCTAGTAGAAATTTATCCAAGCTTCGTGGTCGATTAAAAGGTCATTTCTAAAAAAAGTTTATTCATTCCCAATAATCATTTATGTAATTGTTCAGTTAAACATACAAAAAAACTTATCTTTCTTATAATTATCGACATAATATGTCATAATGATAAAATAAAAATAGTTCATTGATTAAACAATATTTCCATTAAATAACATATGTACATATGTCTTTTTTGTCTAACCTAGTGACTTGTTACAAAAAAATTCTATACATAAATTTGTCAGTACATTACTTGTATTTATTATTCTAATAAAATTGTATATTCACTAACTACTGTACATATTGTTGGCTGTCAAAAAAGAAAATTAATATAAAATTAAATTTGTCAACATACTTTAGGTGTAAGGAAATTAATACATAATAAAAATCTATAAATCAAAGTTCCGTCGCAAATAGAAATTGAAATGGATATGATTAAATTCTATAAAACACTTTATATACTAGCGAGAATTAATTAATCTCAGTTACTTTGTCACTTAAGTAATCCGATGATGATTTGAGATAATTTATTAAAGGTTTGAAAATGAAGGCTGCCGTTATGATTGTTTTAGGAGCTTTAATTTCCTTTATTGGGCCGAACCCTTTTCATTATTAAAACATTATTTCCATAAGTTAAGAGCTATCAAGACTTTTTAGATCATTGAGTATTTTAATTTTTTGAATAGTTATCAGTTTTTTAAACGAAGTTAATTTTTGATTTGATAAAATTAATGAGAAGTGTATAGTAATATAATTGTGATCTTAGCTACATTTAGTTAGTTTAATTTAAAAAATATATCCAATCCCTATTAAAAGTAGAGGAAGTGATAGTCCGTCGATTAAAGCCGTTGTTTAATTTTTTTTATGTAAGCAAATAACATGAAAAAATTATTCGATTTTTAAATTTGTCTTGACGAATCGCACTACTTATAAAGAAGTAGATGTCTTTACTTCAAAATCACAAAACTTTATTTTGTGGCCATATACAATCAAAGTATAATTATTGTTCCGAGCTAAGCATACTATTTTTAAGAAACCGTAGTATAGTAGTTTTTGTACGTACAGTCTAAAAATAGTATTGCATTCCATCACAATTTCTTTTTATACAAGTTTATCATATGTACATTAACTATATTTTATTATATGTAAACTATGGTATAACCATAACATGACTTTGGTAAGCAAGGTTGAGGCAACAAAAGTTAATTTTGCTTCACATTTTGCTATAATACCGGATATTAATAACCGCACTGTCAGCCATTTTAATTTCCTTAATACGTCAAAATAAGAAAAATGTTTAAGGAAAATTGTAAAGCATTAGGGGAAATCGAAATTTTATGATAGTATTCTGAAAAAAAAAATTGGTAACGTTATTTGCCAAGTGGGCTGACATAACATATTTTTGCGTCTCTATCATTGGTTTTTTTAAAGTAAAATTATATTTAGTGCTGTCCAACATTTATTACTGTCAGAAATAGAATGCCATTGGTAGGCTGCTAAACGAATTTTCTACTAAGTAACGTTTGTGACTGCATTTTATATTATCATATTCTGTATAAAAATGAAAGCATCTAAAATATCAATTATAAAAACGTTTGTAGTAATAGGCTAGATGGCTGAAATACTCTAACCTGTATCCGTTAGAACTTCGGCTAAAAATTAATGGAAAATTATTTACACTTGAGTTTACACTTGCTTGTTCTATGATATAAAACATTGCAAGGAAACTAGCACGTCGGACTCAAAAGTTGACCAAATGTGTCAGGCACA